TAAAAAGCATAGTCAGATTATGTTTAAATATTGGGATAGTATTTAGCATATTAACTACGAATGTCTAAGAACCACGTATAAAGAATAAGTTTGATGAAATTGGTCAAGGAATGCCCCAGAAACTATTAATGACATGTTCAAATGTTGATTTTTGGGACAATTAATGGCTGTCAGTTGAAGGTCAACAAAATAAAACAATGTATCATGAAATCAATGTATCATGATTTGTGATGTAACAACTTTGAAAAAAAACAACAACATTTAATTTGTACCACTAAGCTATGTATGTTTATACACAACTTTTAACATGCTTGATGACAAATTTGAGAAAAGATTATAAAAATCAACTTTTGATGGTAATTAACAAAAATACCTTTTTTCAATTTGTGAAGATACACTACTATTGGCAATATTTCAATCTGAGGCAGTAAATTGCTAATCAATTTGTTCACATTAATATGTAGATACAGCTTACCTTAAAGTATATTTTAAAAAGCTGGTTCACCAGATACAACATGCCCCATTTCTTGGAATCCTCAACAGCTGCCCTCCTGAAATTGGAAGAGAACTTAAAAAAACTATAACCAATGGGAGGTCACAAATTTGATTTGCATGTGTGTGGAACATGTTTAGACAATTTTGTTACTAGTACCCTTTATCTTACCATTTCTGAACAAGTATCAGAGACACACATGGATTATCATGGATGGTACACTTATGACATAATGCATATGACATAATTGGTGCTTATGACATCATGGATCATGCTTATGACATCATGGATCATGCTTATGACATTATGGATCATGCTTATGACATCATGGATCATGCTTATGACATCATGGATCATGCTTATGACATCATGGATCGTGCTTGTGACATCATGCTTATGACATCATGGATGATGCATATGATATTGTTGGTGCTTATGACATCATGGACGTGAAAGTCTAGATATGATGTAATATGGAAGTATATGGTACCCTCTTACAAAGCTTTCCTTACTAAAATTATAATGATATAAGTTTGATTTAAGTATGGTACAATTAACTTACGTGTCACTGGCACACACTCTAAAACAAGACATCAGTAACTCAGCTGCCTTCTCTAGCGTTTCACCAGGTTTACCCCTGCCTTTCTTTGACAGTTGAATATCTGCCTGTGAGGGAAGACAATAAAATTGAATTTATCAGGACTCAATCACCTGTTAACTTTACAATGAAACAAATAATAAATATCAATAATAGTAATATATTATTTCATGCTTTACATTATAGCACTACATTAAAAATGCATATAGAAGTACACATGAATTCTGGTGAGTACAATCAACTTTGGTTCGTTTTTGTGGTTACTGTGGTTACGTTATCAATGAGAGTTTCTGAATTATTTTCCATTAATACTGCAAGCAGTTGTCATTGAAGTATAAATAAGCAGCTCAATATGCACTAATGTAGACATAATATTGGAAATAGTACAACAATTCCTTCTGAAATTTGAAGAACAAGGATGTGTGATCTTTAGAGTTCATGAATGAGGCATATTGCAAGAATAAAGAGTTTCATACCTTGATAAGTTGGTTCATTGTGTTCACAGGCATATTTCATTAAATACTTAAAACTTTGATATTTTAAGAGTTGATGGCATTTTGTGAATGTTACTATGATCCCAGTTGTTCACTGCTAAGCAATTTTGCAATATTCACTGATTCATAAATGTATATTTAACGATTTATTCAATACTTACATTACAAGCAAATAATCTTAAATCAAGTGTCAATGTGAACATTATTGGTAAAGCCCTACAAAGAAAAAAACAGACATTGGTATTAACAGATTGATCAAATGAGGGCGCTATCACTCTATGCCAATTTAAACAAGTGAAATACAAAGAACAAATGAAATTCGTTTGCGCTTAAAATAAACACTGCACATGTTTACATGCATTAGTGTTTTTTATTTTTCAATGATTGAATGACATTTTTACTCTCAATAAATCATAAACTTATTAGATCATCAACATTCAGTATCAAGCAATAATACAGGGGGTATGAACAAATGTACGTTTTTTCGTCTATATTGCATTTTTAATTGATACTAATATCTGAGCCAGCATTAGATCAAGATGTTACACTGCAGTAATATTTGTGAAAATTTACAGGCCACTAAAATACAATTTATAATGTGTTAATTTTTCACATCAGCTTGTGCTTTGTTAATTAGGTATATGCATGCAAACATACTGCTGCTAGTTTCTGATACATTTCACTCATCAGGTGGGATGTAAATCATGACGTAGATAACTCACCAGTTCTCATCCTTGTGACTCTGAAAGGCTCTGACAAAAGCTCTAAGAGTATTGTGGTTTAGAAAAATATTTATGTATCACCGTGAAGTTAGCTGTGACAGCACCTGTATCGTGTCTGAATTAGAATAGCATTTGATATGGTTATGAGTTATTACTGACGTAACCACAGAACAGTCTGTGGAACAGATCAAATATCTACAACTCAGACAATAATTGTAATTTCCACCCAACATAACTTTGTTATGGCTTTCAAGTGATTAGTTGCGAATGTAAATGAAGTTTATACATATCTGTTGCTATTTTAGTATTTGTTCATTTATATTTATACTGATTCAAATTTATTCATTGTGACTGTGATGTACATCGAAATAAAAAGGATACTGTATGGCAATACTTTGGCAGGCATAGGCTTCTACAAAATCATTATTAGAGATGCACCACACACCTCTGAAATGAGAAAACAAAACATTCTTTATTCAAAGCGAGGGAGTCGTCACCTGTACACGCGTCAAATGGTCATAGCGTGTCATTGTTTACAAACAAGCGTCTACCATGAGCCTTTGCGTTTTTAGCGCGTGTTGTCATCATCGCTTGGGACTCAATTCCCGCGCATGCACAAGTGACGAACCTCTCACTTTAATACAATGCTATAAAAAACACAAATTGTTGTTGACGTTTTTTTATAAAAGACAATTTCTGGTCACTAAAATAGCAAAAAATGATCCTTACCTAAGATGTGCAGCTATCATTTCATCATACGGCTGTTGAAACCACCGTTCACATTGCGGTTCAGGATGTTCTAATTGAAGTCTGTGGTTGGCAATATGTGCATGACGGAAAGATAAAAAATCCTGCCATGTATAAAAGAAATACAGTAATTGATCAGGAATGTAACAAAATGAATTAATGTTATGCAGCACTGTAGATACATTAATTATTCACTGGTGTAGAATTTTGCTTTTTTCGTTGATAAGCAAAAATTTGCTAAATTGAATCCACAGGAACGTGCAGAATAACAATAGAACTCATTGTTTCCCTGCCAAGTTCGTGAACTTTAAACCCAGTGAAATTGCTCAAAGCATCAAAATAGTGTAATTAAATGCCAGTGAAAATAAATGGTTTCACAGTAAGATTCTATATCATTTCTGTTGCATGATGACGGCTTTGTGTTGCTTAATTCACAGTCTCACCAATACCAGAGTTCCCACTAAGCTATGTTTCTGAAAAACTTTTTCAGTCAGGATCCCATTTTTCTCAAAATTATACACCAGATTCAAGTTGTTTTTTTGAGATGAAATTTACAAGTACATAGACATGTGCAGTACTCTCCCAAAAAAAAGAAATTAGAGTTAGAGTTAAATATAGTGCAAGGATTAAGCTGCTGTTTGGTTTGTTGTTAGATACATTGATAGAAGCACAGTCCCTCTATCATTGTGATAGAAGCACAGTCCCTCTATCATTGTGCTAGAAGTAATCATATTCAGTATGCATTGATCAAGATATTCAAAATGACAACACGTATCAAATTGAAGAATCACCCAATCACATTAAAATATATAAGTTCCTGCCCATATATTGTACATAAATCAGAAATAGATTGAGTTATAAATGGCTACTATCACTGCATAAAGAAACAATAAATAAGGAAAAGACTAAAAAAGTTTTTCAACACATAAACATAAAAATTAAGCGTTACTTACTGCAGCTGTTTGGCCATCTCGCTCACTCAGTGCTTCATCAAGCTGTAATAAAATGTGGTTATAAAATAAATAAACTCAATATATATCTTTTTGTGCAAGGTGACAATTTTGGTAAGTAACTATGTATCATGGCCTAAATAAGAAAGAAGTAAACACATGATATTGCTAGTTAAATAAATAAAGCATAATAGCAAGCTCATCAAGAGCAGGAATGAGCTCTATAGATAAGATAAGATAAGATAAGATAAGATAAGATAAGATAAGATAAGATAAGATAAGATAAGATAAGATAAGATAAGATAAATTTTATTTGGTACGGGAACATATAAAATGCCATGACCAAGAACAAGAGAGAAAAAATTACATAAATACTAAACTAAAATAAACTAGATTAAAAAAGCTCTAAAATACTAAAAACAAATTTGGCTAAGCCTGAATAGATAAATTTATCGGTACTTGAAAACATTTCTGCAAATAAATTGTCATCCCCGATGATTTCAAGATTTGGTGCATACATAAATAAAGTTGTAAAAAAATCATTTCTAAAACAATTAATTTGACTATTATTACAATTAAAGATATTGTGACATAAATTGTAAGTTAAAAGTACAGAGCCCTGGCTGTGTGAATGAAAAGCGCACATGTTTGGATACTTTGCAACAACCCATTGCACATGTTTATTTTTAAGACTGCTGATACAGTCACTGGATTGTGTTGTCAGCAGAAGTTGAGATACATACATCCTGTCTCTCCCTGTGGCATAATGGTATGTCTCAGACAGTGACATGGTGATTGTGAAATACCTTGGAATGTGCTGAGCCCAGTGTTGTTGGCAATGAAAATAGATATGACATCATTGACCCGAGTCTCCTACTTTAAATTGGTAGAGCTTGGATTAAGAGTGGTTTATTCCACTACCAAAATTGGCATCCTCTGTACACTGATTTGTCGGCTATTTCGAGATAACCAATCATTTCGTTATATACATTTTATTATTTGCATGGCCATAAATTACTAGGGTATTTAAGTTGAGACATAAGGGAAAATCTTTAGTCAGGAAGGTGACCTGACTTGATCCTGTAACATCTTGTGATGCTGATTCCTGACTCCAGTGAGCTGTACCCTATACAGGGGTACATATGCAGACGTGCTGTGCAGTAATCCTGCTGATCAACAGGAACCACTGAAGCTCACTGCTGAACTACTCCCGTTGTACCAGTGCTACCAGTAGCAGCAGATAGCAGTGCAGTTGCCGATACTACCTGGACACAGAGCACGAGTTTAAATTGTAGTGCAGCTGCTTCGCCAGTGTGCCAGATACGAAGGAACGCAACATTGCACATTGCTGTCCAATGGAGAGTGGAGTGTTCCCTGCAGCATCGATCAAGTCTCTAATTTATTTTATTTTACAGTGTATCCCCCTCCTTGCTGGTTCCAGTGACCAGCATCCCTGTTATTTGTTTATTAAAGTACAGGAAACCGTATATATTGTGTTGTGTTGATTTGTTATAATCGTTACTGGTATATACGAGCTGAGAGGGAGGAGACTTATTAGATAGGCACGCTACCAAAGACAAAGACTATTAGACCGGTATTAAAGACAAACTCCCCGATCCTGAATACGGTGTAGCCCCATAAAGGCCCCCCCCCCGCATTTAACGTCACATTGGTGGCAGTGGTGGGATACAACTGGTGCAGAGGAGGTGAACCAGAGAAAGCAGATGAAGGCGACTCCTGTTACAGATCAAGAAATGGCAGAGAAATATTCCAGTAGAAAGTATCCAGACTGAACCAGTAGCAGATCCAGAAATGGCAAAGCCGATTCCAGTAGAGAGTATCCAGATTGAACCTGTAGCTGATGCAGAGCAAAGAAATGATCAGCAAATTTTTGTTGATACATTAAGAGAAATACAGTTGCACAG